TCCCAGTTCCTGGCAGGCCAGACGCCATCCCACAAGACTCTGAATGACCAGACAAGAGCGTCCCAAAATTTACTTGATGTATCTGGCGCTAGAAGTTTTTTAAAAATTGCACCAATGAGAAAATTGAAAGATCTTGTTGTACCTGTGGCAAACACGCTGCACCAAGAATAGAACAATGCGCTTTGCTGCCAAATCTTCCCAAGGCCAATCACGGGAGCCCCATCACCATGGATTGATAAAGGAATCGCACGCGAACGCCAATTTTCCCTGTCGCGAACTGGGTGGTCGTTCAACTGGGGATTCCCCAACATGGCTGACCAAAATTGCCGAACGCGTTCCTCAGAAGGGCAAAATTTAGTTGTCCACGCTTCTGGGTAAAATTCATAAGCTGCAGCAAACAATTCATGTGGCATCATGATATACTGATCCGTGGGGGTCACAACGCCCGAAATATTTATTGGCAAGCTTACAGCAACAGGTTTCGGCAACTGCACGCCCGAAACCCTTGATAACAGCTGCCCGTGCATTCGATTCGAAGCAGAACCTTCGTTCCCCAACGTCGTCAACATGTCGTACTGCTTTAGGTCAATGTTTTTTTGTGCAAGTGCAGAATCAATATCCGCCCTGGCCAGGGAAGCTATGCGCTGAATAGTCTGAGGAGACATGTAACCCCACGCCCATTGCTCAAGCAAAAACGATGTCAACTTGGGAGCCTCCAGAGCGCCTAGACGCGCTTGTCTACGTTGGTTGACGCCAGGCATTGGAGCCAGAACGCTATGGCATGGGTGGGTGTGGAGGCATCGTGGACGCGAACCGAAGCACAGTTGGAACTTATAATCAGGAGAGAAGGTAAGGACGCAAGACCCTGGGAAGTACCAGCCCCAAGGACCCCCTGAGAGGCCAACCAGCGAAAACAGCGAGGGAGGAAACCCAGAGACAAGGACGCAAGGGTACAGTACTCGTCTTTCCTATGGATTTTGACTGTAAATCGTCATGGCTGTAAAGCACAAAGAAAATTCTCAGAATTCAGATTCTCAGAATATCTGGTAGATGTTATCAGAATTATTCTGATAATAATTCTCAGAATTTTGAATGATTCCCGTGAATCAAACATGATTATCAGAATTTGTTTAGATTATCCAAATTCTTTGGAATTCATTTGATTTCCATGAATTCATTTAACTTACAAGATTCTCATTATTTTTGGTGAATTCCGGCTATGAGGCAGGAGGCAAAAAAACACACACAATTAATCGGCGATTCCCAGAAAATATGGGAAAATATGGGAAGTGGGGGGGAAGACAAAAAACCCAGAAAATATGAGAAAAGATGGGGGATATTTTTATTTGTGTGTATTTATTTGTGTGTCCCAGTTCCCCTTCATTGTTGTCCGTCCTCGGCGGCTTTCCAGCTTCGGGATGCCTTCCAGCCGCTGCGCCTCGCCGAGCGCTTCCCAGGCGTGCCCAGCTCGTCCCGAACGGCCGCCGGGAGCCCCGAGCCGTGGTCCAACCACCACCGGCAGAGGGGGCGGGCCTCCTCGGCAGGCTCGGGAGGCCTCGGACCCTCCTCCTCCTCCTCCTCCTCCTCCTCCTCCTCAAAGGCATCTTCCGAGGAGGCCTCGCCGCCCTCCGAGGAGGGCTCCGAGAGGCCTCGGGGGCACCTTCGGAGGGCTCCCGAGGGGCTCCGAGGAGGAGGCACCCTCGGAGGGCTCCCGAGAGGCGGCGCCGCCCTCCGAGGGGGCCTGCTGCTGCCCGCCTCCCGCCCCCTCGCCGCGCTCCGCCGCAGGGTCGCGCAGGGGGGCCTGGCCGGGGCCTGCGCCGTGGAGGTGGCCGATTTCATGGAGCCCACCTTCGCCATCTCGGAGGAGCCGCGGGAGCACAAGAAGAGCCACGCAGATCAGAGCGCGAATTGCCTACCCCGCTTTCGCTTCCAGGCAAAGCCAAGCCATACCACGCCCCTCCTCGTCAAGCGGCCTGACCAGTACAGGCTGCAAGTTGGCATCGTTTGGTATCTCTTGGAAGCGAGGTCAAAAGCGAGGTAGGTTTGTTTTCCCCTAGCAGAAGAAACCAGCTCTCTGGATCGCTCAATCATCGCCCCCCCCTTGGAGTGCCCGGGGGGGTTGGCCGCGGCGCGTGCGCGGGGGGTGCCAGGGGGGGGGGTCTGGGGCTCTTCCCCTTCCCCGCTGGGGCGCGGGGGTGGTGCCCGGGGGGGTTGGCCGCGCCGCGTTTTCACGCTCGTCCCCCCCCCCGGTTGATCAATGAGATGTTCGGGGTAGGCCAGCATGGATGTTCGTGGGTCCGCGTGGACTTCTTGGATCGGGCCAGGGGACGGCGGCGGAGGCCCCGCCAGGGGAAGCAGCCGCCAATCCGAGAAGCCAGCGCGGGCCTCCGACAGTTTTGGTTTACGCAGCCTCTGTGCCCCTGGTATCGGATTCAAAAATCATCATCAAATCGTCTGGGGGGCGATGTTCCTAATATTTGTTGCTATTTTGAACGTGCGTTGGACTATCACTCATTTGTCTTCAAAACCCGCCTGTAGAAGGACATGTCCGACCTAACCCAAGTAGGATCTGGATGTGTTACTTGGCGTGTCGCCCCGCAGCTTCTGATGCCCACCATGCTTCGGCGAGACACTGAAATGAACCACGCTCCGGTCCGCAGGCGTCCATGCCCCGAGCCTTTCCCAGCCTCCCGCCTACGAAGCGGAACGGCACGCGATCGGTTAGCAGGGCATGGTGTGTCGCAGCGGACGCCGCCGCGACACGCTGAGCAACCGCTCCTGGCCTGGCACTCAGGGAGCTCCGCACAGATCCTGAAGCGGACGGGTCCTTGGGAAGCGGGTCCAGAGTGTGCTGCCCGTGTTCGTGCTCCCGGGCCCCGGGGTCTCCCAGAAACGATTCGGAAGTTAGGGTCAGGAATCGGTCCTGGGGGAAGGCCTTGGGACTGGGAGGGTCGAGGAAAAGAAAGCGGCACAGGCAGATTTGTTCGGAGGTCCGCAGGGATTTCTTGGGGCGGCACTGGACGCCCCTTGGCGGCGCCACTGGCGCCGCCCCTGGCATGCTCCGCGCACCACAGGAGAGGCGGTCTCCAGCGCCGATGCCAGACATCCGTGCGAATTTCCGAAAGTGTTGGCCGAAACTCCAGCCCCATCTTTTCCGACCCCATTCGAGCGGCCTCCATGGATGATCCAGGGTTGCCCCCCCCGCCCCCCCCCCGTCGTTACCCCCTCCCTCCCTGTGGGTGTGGTGTGGTGCTGAAGGTGTGGCGTGGTGCTGCAATGCACCCCCCACAAACTTGCGGGTGTGGTTTTGGGATGCTTCAGAAAGCGGGAGTGCTGCAATCTCCCAGCTCACGGGAATTCGGCCACCATAAGATGTCCAGATGTCGTCGTGGTCGTCGTCGTCGTCGTCGGCTTCGACGTCGTCTTCGACATTGCCTGTTATGTTCAAGGTCGTCGTCTTTGTCGTCGTCGTCGGCGTCGTTTTCGACGTCGTTTTCGACGTGGTCGTCGTCGTCGTCGTCGTCTTCCTCAACATAGGATCGCTCATGCCATTTTGCTTGCGCTTCCAGTCTCAGAGGAGGTGACCGCCGTCTACCTGTTCGGCACCCCCGGGGTGAACGCGCACTTGACGAGAGAGCTGGAGAAGGCCGTCCGGCGCGGAGTGCGCGCGGTCACGTACAACTTCCACGTCGAGTTCGGGGCGCCTGGATTCGAATCTCGGAGAAGAAAACGTGGACATCAGCACTCTGGGCAGCTGGGCACACACGACGTGGCAGGCTTGGACGAGGGCTGGATGCACGCGTGGCCACGCGCTTTTCTCGCGCTCGGTGCTCGCCTGGCCGGGTGCGCCAGCCCTCCACGCATGTCTCCAGCGCGGGGCAGCGGGATGTTTCGCACGTGCATCCATCGGGGCTCAAGAGACGGGGGTCAATGCAGACGGGGGTCAGCCAGAGCGCCGGATCTTGCAGGATCCTGCAGGGGCTGGGTCGCACTGACCCGGGCTTGGGCGCAGGATCCTGCATGATTTTGCAGGATCCTTCGCGTTTACCCGGGCTTGGGCGCAGGATCTCGCAGGATGTTGCAGGACTTGGCAAGGCCTGGCTGACCCGGGTCTGTATTGACCCGGGTCGGAAGTATCCCCGAATCCAGCTTGTTGTGTTCCCAGTTTCTCGGTCGTCTTTCGCAGGGTGTGCGCAGATCTCTTGGCTCTTGGATCAGCGCTGGAGGCGCCGCCAGGAGGAGCCCAGCGCCGATCCGAGAAGTCCGCGCGGAGCTCCGAGAGCAGAGTGTCTGCGCTGCTGATTCTTCCTCCGCCATCGCGCGACACTCGCCGTGGCGCCCTTCGCTTGACGAGGGCATGCCGTGGCGACCACGCCAGCAGCACCGACAGCGCGGGGGTCGGCGCAGGCTCGCCGGCGCCTGCGGGCAGAGTCACGGGCACTGCTCTGGTGGCCGCGGTGGGGTGCGGCAGTGCGCAGGACGGCCGGCAGCACCGGAGCCTCGGGGCACCCCGGGGCTCCAGATCCCGAGAGGGGCTCCCGCTCCGGTCGGCGTTCTGCGCAGGGGCCTCTGGGAGTCTCTCCGACGGGGCATCGGGGGGGGACTCCAGCGCGGCAGCTCTCGACACCATGGATTGAGGCTCGCTCTTGCCGACACGCCTCGATAACATGCCAAACTGGCGGCAATCGTCTTTGTCCCGTTGCCTGCGGCAAGCTCCACCACCGTGCCAGCGCAACAGTCTATGGGGCGACGCTTGGAGCCCCGCCGAGAAGGCCGGACCTGGCGACACGCGACACCTCTCGTCTTTCTTTTTTAGGGCTCTCATGAGGCCTTCCTGGGCCGTCTTGGGGCTGCCTTAGGCTTAAGTCGGGTTTGTTTCTCTGCAGGGGGAAAATTACAAAATAGTAAAGAATGTGTTGACCATTTTGGAGTATTTTGGTGGTATTTTTTAAATGCTCGTCGAAAATCCCTTTGAAGGGGGACACGCCCGACTTAACCTTCGGCTCCTGCGGAGAAGTCTTGTGACCCTCTTTGGCCGTCTTCGTGCCGTCTGAGGCCGTCGTATCTCGGCCGTTTCAGGAGTCGCTCCGGGCTGTCGTGGGAGCTTTTTGAGGCCCTCTTGTTCCATATTGGAGCCCTTGTGCCTCTTTGGCCGTGTTGGGGCCCCCTTAGGGGTGTCCCTGGCCGTCTAGGGGCCTTCCGTGGGCCATCACTGAGCTCGGTTGGCTTGTCGTGGCTCCTCCGAGGTCCTCTCAGAACGAGCTTCGACTGAGCGGCCCAGAGGAGCTCAAACTACGCATGACCAGAGGGCCTCCGTACGCTTTCGGTTGCACGTGAGCGACGAGAGGAAACGGGGTCGTCTACGCCGACATTCGCGCGCAAGCTCCCCCGCGTAAGGTCGCGCGTAAGCGCCTTCGTTTCCAATGTAGCATGCCGCGGCGGCGGCCCGCGTAAGCCACCGCGTGAGGTCTCTATGCCATCTCGCGTAAGACCCGTTTTTATTCGTCGCTCATGTGGCCTTCCTGGCGGGCCTCTTGACACTTTTTCCTGCGTCTTGACATCCTCCTGGGCTCTGGGAGCCGTCCTTCGCTAGGGACTGTCGGGTGCCTGTTGAGCTAATGTCGGGCCATATTGTCGGCCTTCATAGCCTTCCTTGGCTGGCCGCCTTGGAGGCCGGCCAAGGAAAGCCTCACTGAGGTCCCTGGGGTTGCATTAGGGATGATCGATCTGGGTGGTTTGGTCTGATACACTTGCAGAAGAGGCCCCTATCCCTAGTGTTTCTGGCCTTCCTAACTCAGGTCCCCTCCCAAAGGGTGATGGAGCTTCTTGTTGATCAATCATTGGAGGCCTTGGAGAGTTCAAGAGGGGGGCAGCGAGGCGCCAGGCCGCCCCGTGCATGCCAGGCGGCACCGTGTGATCAATGGGGGGGCGGGGTCCAGTCACCCCGCAGAGGAAGGACGGGCAGCCTTCCCAAGGGTACCCTCAAGTCGGGTACGTCCCTCTACAGAAGGAATATTCAAACATAGTCGAAACATTAAGAGCGACGGTTGGAAGACTATCCTTTGATTATTTATTTTTGCATGTTTGGGGCAATTCTTTACCTTCCGTCCACAATCTGCCTTTAATGGACATGCCCGACCGAAGGGTACCTTCGAATCCTTGTCTCCTCGGTTGATCCTTGGCCACTTTCGCTGGCCGCGCCCAGCACGATAAGCTTCGAAATGAGCATCCAAGGGCCTTGCGTCCTTATCGCGCATCCTTGCCATACGGGTTGACTGTAGACGACTTGCAGAATCACTACCAGGCAGCATCCTGTCATCATTTCGCGCCTCATCGTGCAAGGGGGCACAGTGCCGGATGTAATATAGAAGTGATTGATTGTTGTCTCAAGCCTGGTGCAATAGCCTCCAGTCTGATGAAATAGTCTCTGACAGACTGTCGCAAGACAAGATATTCATCCCAAGCTGTATTTTACCGCGTGCGCACCATCTTGGCTAGAGAAAAAAAATGTTGCTTTGTTCATAGTTCGTGTGGCAGCGCTTGTGGGGCGCACGAATCGGTGATCAGCGCGAGTGGGGATCAGCCAATCCCTTGCGATACCCTTTGGCTGACCCGAATTTGTCACGTGGGCCCAACTATCCTCCCTTCCCTCGATTGACCCTGGTTTGGGAGCCACGATGCCGCCTGCTGGAGTTCACCACGTGGCCCTGGCTGACTTGGGTTAGCGCTGCCCCGGGTCAGTTCTTCGGGCTGGGGGATGGAGCAGTGGCTGAATTATCCCGAGCGTTAAGATGGGATCTGATCCTACGACTTTGAATTAAGTTGGTAGGGGAACGGCCGGATAAGTTGTAAGGAACCCAGTGAATGGTGGCAAAGTTGTTGGGAGCGCTGTTGGGAATCCGTCATATGCCGGCGAAGTTGTTGACCTACCCATTTCTAGTAAATTATATGGTGGTGAACGTTTTTGGGCTCGCTGCGTGTGCTGGCAAAGTGGATGGGGAGCCCTGTACGTGTGGGCAAAGTTGTTGGGACATGTCTGGGGGTTTCCGTGTATGCGTTGGAGGTGCGTTGTGCACATTGACGCAGCAAATGTTGTCTTGTCCTTGACGTTGAATAACGGAATGTGCCAGAACGTTGCGTGGGCGGATTGCATTGTCGACAAGTGGCGGGCGATTGTTGTTGATTGCTGATCGCCTTGGCACATGAGTTGGCTCAGCAAAAAAAGCTGAGTTATCGCAACGGATCGGGGAGCACCGCTACGTTTGGACTCTGGGGGCTCGTGAGGCAGCTGGATCTTTCCCCAGGACCACGAACAAATCGCATTCTCAGGATCTGGGCGACGCGATCAGGAAGCCCAGCCTATTTGGCTTGCTTTACTTCCGCTGCTGTTCTGCTGCGCTTACCAAGGTTTTCTCAATCGCACTGCTTTTGTTTGGCGCTTGGTGTTTGCTCATGTGCCGCGGTGTTTGCCCCGCTGTCGCGGCGCGCGACAACGCTTGCCCTTTCCGTACTGTCGGACCGAAGTATAGGATCGAGGTCGGTTCGGGGTGGGCCCCCTGGTACTCTCCGTGCACGTTGGTCTTCTTGTGTGCTCCCTGGGGGGAGGTACCTTGGACCCTCCGTCTGTTTTGACCGACGGAGGGTCTCGTGCTCCTGAGGGGGTGGTCTTCCGGCCCACGTCCGACTGCGCCCCCCTCTCCCTTGTTCCCCTCCGAGCCTTTGGCCGCCCACCTCCCCCCCCCCCTCCACCTCTCCCGCGGTCCTCGGACTCTGACTCGGACCCTCCTCATTCCGCTCGGTCCTCCCGCCCCTCCTCTTCATCCTCATTCCCCTCGTCGTCCTCATCGGGCGCCTCCTCGTCGTTGCCCTCGTGCACCTCCTGGCACGTGGCTTGGGCCTCGTCCCCCTCGTTCACCCGCTGACTCTTGGTCCTGCCGTCAGTGCTGAGCAATCCGTGCTCCGTAACCATTTTTGGCTCAGCGCTCGTAGCACGTTTGTCTCATGTTATTCCCCTCGACGTGTGATAATCCAGTGCTTTGGGTATGCTTTCCTGGTCCTGTGCTGTGCGTGGAGGTGCCTTGGCTTTCCCACGACAGGAAAGGATAACGTCTCCTGCGCTGCCCCAGATAAGCAAATGTAACTATTATAGTGGGCTTGTCGTTTACCCTTTGGTTCTCGGAAGCGGCATTCGCAGGCGGTGGCACAGGCGTGGAAGCTTCTTCAGGCGTTCGCGCGCCCTTCGCATTACGAATACACAGACTCCAGAGCCAGACATCAATGTCGACGACAGTGATGATATCCCTTCGCCTGAGGTTTCAGGCCGCTTGGAGAGATGGCGTTCAAACCGTGGCCTAAGTTCAGCAGATGAACCGAGACACGGTGCGGAAGAGATTCCTGTCGCTTCGCGGGGTGCGCGTCCGGAGAACATGCAGCACAGTCGTTGTGGCGGCTTCCTGAGAGCTTCTTGGGTTTTTTGTTGAGGGCTCTTGGGGGCGTGGGGGCGCGTTGGGGCTCTTGGGGATCTTTGGGGGCCTTTTGGGGAGGGGGGTGTCTTGGGCTGTCTTGGGGGGTTCTGGCGCTGTGTGGCTTCTTCGGAGGCTGTCTTGGGGCTATTTTGGGATGCTCTTGGCCCGTCTTGGAGGCCTCTTTTGGCCATCTTGGGGCTTTTTAGGTAGTCTTGGGGCTCAATTGGAGGGTGTAAAATGCGCGCGGTGTTCGGCAATGTTTATGCGAGAAGCGGCGCACAGCTCCCAGCGAGACAAAGCAGACTTGCTTTGCCCCTTTGCTGGCGGGGAGAGTTGTAGGCGCCGCGCAGCCGATTAGGACTGGCAATCGCCGCTGTTGAAAAGTGCTCAGATGTGGAAGGTGTGGGCGTTGTTTGGCGTGACCTGCTCGGCTGCCGCGCGTGCGTGCCGCTCCGTTCTGCCATCCCCAGGGCTTTTGGGCGGCCTCATGGGGGGCTCTTGGGAGCCTCTTGAAAGCCTCGTAGGGGGTTCTTGTTGACGTCTTGCGCCGGCTTGGGCGCTCTAGCGCCGTCTGGCCCCTTCGGAGGCCATCTTGAAGGCCCCTCGCGGCCGCCTTCGGGCTCCCGTGGAGTCCTCTTTGGCTGTCTTGGGGGCCCCTTGGACCGTCTTGGGGGCCTCGTTTGGCCGTCTCGGGGCCCTCTAGAGCAATCCTGGGGCCTCTTTGGGGGCCTCTTTGGCCGTCTTGGGATCTTCATGCAGGCTGCTTGGGCCGTCGCGGTCCTCTGATGGCCGAAAAAAGGCGAGAACGCTAGCGCCTTTCAAAAACCATTGAGAAATCATTGATTTTGGCTCCTGGAGGCGCTCTTTCGAATCCTCTCGGGGCCACCTTGAGCCGTCTTGGGGACCTCGCGGGCCCTCTTGGGACCATCCAGGGCCGTCGTAAGGCCGTCTTGGGGCCATCTTGGGCCATCTTGAGGCCCTCTTGGCGTCCCAAGTGGCCGAAGTGGCCGAATGTGTTGATGTTCCATTGGTTTTTGTTGGGCTGGAGCCCCAGAGCGAGGGCCTCCAGATTCGGTGCGGCGTCGTGGCGCGTTGTGGAGCTTTAGGCTTGCGCCACGTCCGCCGACCCCTTGTATCTCAGTTTGCGTCGTGGCTGGTCAGTTTGTGTCGCGAGGGCGGTCTCTTGTGGGAACCTCTGCCTCCTCTTGGAGGGTTTCTGGAGGATTGTTGGAAGCCTCTCAGGGGTCATCCGAAAAGAGAACATCAACGGACTTTTGATCCGGGAGGCCCTCGCGGGTGCCCGTATGGAGGTCCTGGGGCCTTCTATGGGTGCATCAAGTTGTTGGGATGGTATCCTCGGCGGCATGGAGCTATCTGTCAGCCATTGGGAGCCTTCTTGCACTAGTTTGGGGGCCCGTTTGGGCCCTGTTGGCCCCTTCGGGGTCCTGTTGAGCCCATTGGGTTGTTAGTTTCGGGGCCGTTTTGGCCGTCTGGCAATATGGAGATGCCATAAGAGCGAGAACGCCTAACTCAATCGCACATCAGCATAATTATGTTTGCTTCGGGAGTCTTCCGAGAGTGTCTTTCTGGAGGCCTCTGGGAGCTATCTGGGGGCATTTTGGGCCGCTTCGATGGTACATTGGGCATCTTGGAACGATCTTTGCGGAACCTGGGGCCAGTTGGGACCGTCTTCGGGGTCTCTTGGGGCTCTCTTCGCTTGTTTTGCGTCTTGGGGCCATCTTCTGGATGCTCTGAGAGGGCCTGGGATCCAGTTGGGGGCATTTTGAAGCATGGAGAGGCCGTGTTCGGCTTTTTGGAACGATCATTCGGCGACTTCGGGCCTTCTTGGGTCGTCCAGGAGCCTGCAATCTCCCCATGAGGCGTTCGTACTGGGCTGGCGGGGGGGTCAACATGCCAGTTTGGGGTCTTTGTGGGGGAGTCGACGGGGGGGAATAATCTTACGCACCCGAGGACCCACAAAGGGCCAGTGGATATCCTAGGGTCTCCAGATGGGTCCATGTAGTGGTCGATTCACGTCGTGTCGACTGGCGGCGACCCCGCCGCTGGCGTTCAATGTGGAACGCCGCGGGCAACTGAGAACTGGTCGATGCTGGAGGACCTGCTGGTCGGGAACGGCCGTATCTGAACGGCGAACGATCGGGATGATGGAAATGGGTATTAAGTAGTGGGTACGGTGACCAACAGCAGTTTCTGTTTATATTGGACAGGTCGTGCTGCCCGCGCCACCGCGGACGTTCTTCATTGAAGACAAGAACTTGCTTGCTTGACAGCGGTCGCTGTTGGTCTTGGATCACATTTGCGTTGGCCATTGTGCCAATGTTTTTTCCGTACTGCCGCAGATCGGGTCGAAGAATCGCGCCGCAGCGCCAGTGCGTCGGCGATGCGGCTCGATGTGGGCCCCTGTGTCCCTCCACGGCGACGGTGCCGATGCGTCGGCGATGCTTCGCGATCGTTCGACCCCGCTTACTTCGCCCGCGGGCGAAGACGCGGGCCCGGCCCCGCGCCACGGAGCCAAAAAATGTTTGTCTCACACGCCGAGAATATCCAATCGTTGCTGGGCGTGGCCCGGGGGCCTGCCCAACGCGCACACTCGATCAGCCCAACGGGGCGCCGTCGGAGCCGCGCGTTGCGCCGGATGCCAAACTTGCACGCCTGGCAGGGGCCTCCTCTGGATGCTCCGCTCCTCGTCCACCCCCCAATCGAGACCCTATGGCGCCGCCCGTCGGCCTGGGCGGCGCGCTCGAGTCACGGAGGGGGGGGGGGGGATAGGGGGCGTTTCGACAGTGGGCGCGCGAGGGAAGGACGGGCAACAGTTCTGAGGCACGCTTGCTTCCTGGTCAGCACGCGCGGTGGTTTTGCATCCTGTTTGGCGATCCACCGCCCGCGCGCGTCCAGTGGAAATCCCCCGCCGAAGAAATCGCGCCTGGGACGGGGGGGCGCGGGCCTCAAGGAGGGCCCCCCCCAGGAGCTGTCGATCTCGTGCACTCTTCGCTCGCTCCTTCTTCCTTCGGCGGAAACCACTGTGGCGCACGCTTCGCGTTTCCTACCGGCCCGTCCCGAAATCCTGGGCAGGAGGGCCTACGGGCCACGCCGCGCGGAAAAACATGTTTTCTTCCTTTCGTCATCCTCTACCATCCTTTTTCACTTGTCCTCCTCCGCTTCCCTTCCTGCTGCTGTCGTTGCTGGTTTCGGATTATCTGCTTTTCGTTGTTGACCACCGTGTAGTTTCTGTTGACACATTTTTCCCAGTAGTGAGTTTAAGTTCGAGTAGTCGGCGCGGCGCGCGCGGGCCGGCAGCAAGAGATGGTGCGACCGTGGGTGGTATGGCTAGGTTTCGGGGCAGAAGTTGTCGTGCATGGGGGTCCCAAGAAAGAAGCTGTCGCGGGGTGGAGTTGCCGGGACGTGGAAGGAACGTGGCGGGTGCGTGGTGTGGAGTGCGGGTCGGTCTCGGGCTCGAAATTGTCGTTTGGGGGGGGTCTGAATAATTGTTTTTTCGTGGGGTGGGGGCGCGGGGACGTAGTGGGAGCGCGGTGGGACGTGATGGGGGGGCATGGGTAGGCTTCGTGCCAGAGAGTGGCGTGTGGGGGGGGCCCATGAAGTGAGTTCACGTGGGGTGGGGGTGCCCGTGGCGGGAGCGTGGTGGGGGTCGTGGGTAGGTTTTGGGCCGGGAATTGTTGGTGGGTGGATTTCAAGAACTGAGCTCGCTTGGGGTGGCGGCACCGGGACGTGGTGGGAGCGTGGTGGGAACGTGGTGGGGTGTGTGGGTACGTTTCGGGCAAGAACTTGTCGTGCGGGGGGGTCCCGAGATTCGATTTCACGTGGGGGGTTCTAAGAACAGAGCTCTTGTGGGGAAGAGGTGCCGGGACGTGCTGGGAACGTGGTGGGGGGGTGGGTCGGTTTCGGGCCAGAAATTGTCGTGCGGGGGGGCCCCAAGATTTGAGTTCACCTGGGGGGGGTTAAGAATTGAGCTCTTGTGGGGAAGGGGTGCTGGGACGTGGTGGAAGCGTGGTGGGAACGTGGTCGGGGTGTGTGGGTACGTTTCGGGCCAGAAGTTGTCCTGCGGGGGGGCCCCAAGATCTGAGTTCACGTGGGGGGTTTCAGAACTGAGCTCTTGTGGGGAAGGTGTTTCGGGACGTGGTGAGGGCGCGGTGGGAGCGTGGTGGGGTGTGCAAGTAGGTTTCAGGCTTGACTTTGTCTTGTGGGGGCGCCTTCAGTGCTCAGTGGAAGGAGGGGGCGTCCCGCTGTTGAACATTGTGAGATCAGTGCGGGCGGTGCCTGAGGAGGCCATCGGATGATGCGTTTTCGAAGCAGGAGTTCCGGAGGAAGGGAAGGCCAGCCTTCTGTAAAGAATGCGCGGCGGAAATGAAGAGAATGGATGAGAAATGGCGCAAGACGCGTTGGCCGTGGGAGACGAGAGCAGAGGGCGAAGAATCGACGCGGCACGGCGGCGGTCGCGGCGGAGGGGGAGCGGCATCAGCGGGCGACGAAGAGGAGTGGAGAAATACTCGGGCCATGTATTGCGCAAAGTGTGCGCAAGGGGAATAGCCCGGAAGAGGTCGCGCAGTGACGGCGTCAAGTGGCGCGACAGCGTCGGCGCAGTTCGGCGTTCGAGCGAACAGTGCCTGGCGCTGTTTGAAGAGAAGACGGCGATGTCGGACGCACAGAGAACGCGCAACGCAGCAGAAGTAGGGACCTGTCAGAGATGCGCGGAGGAGCGGGGAACGGCCACGTGAGAGCCGAACAATCGGAAGCGAAAAACGGAGGCAGAAGCAAAGCCGCCGGTCTGCTGCGCGAGAGAGCGCGGGAACACGTCATGGGGACGCGAATCATTTGAAGCCCCAACAGGAGGAGGGGCACCGAAGATAGAGTGTAATGTGGAGAGTCTCAGCGGGGCGTCACCGCGAAGGCAGTAGCCGATGCTGCGAGGCGCCTGAAGCGGCTGCTGACGCGTGCAGCGCGCGAGAAGGAGTTCGCCCGACAGCAGCGCATCAGCGACGAGCAAGAGGGTAAACACTCTACGAGGAAGAGTCAAGTGGTATGCGCCGATTGCATTGCCGACGGGCTCACGGCGCGGATTTGGCAAGCGTTCCAGCGCTTCGGCGGCCGCGCCAAACGAATCCCGAAGTCAATTTCCACGAGCCCACACTTCGCGCGTGCCCTCTAAAGACGCGCGCTGCTATCTAGAGGGCGTGACAGGCGGGGCGTCACCGCGAAGGAACCCGCCGATGTGGCAGAGCGGTTGAAACGACTGCTTACGCGTGCAGCGCGCGAGAAGGAGTTCGCTCGGCAGCAGCACCTCAGCGACGAAAGAGAGAGAGAGAGAGAAAGAGTAGTTTACGAGGAAGGGTAGAGTTGCATGCGCAGATTGCATTGCCGACGGGTTCACGGCGCGCACTTGGCAAGCGTCCCAGTGCTCCGGCGCCTGCCAAAAATCCCCCCCCCCGGAGTCAAAGTTCACGGGTGTCACATTTCGCGCGTGCCCTCGGAAGACGCACGCTGAAGGTCAAGGCGCGCGAGCGAGACCCAGGAAATGACGGACGAGAGGGGGGAAAAGGCTTGAGAAGGAGGCCTCGCCTTCGGCGGGTGCTCGTCGCCTGGGCGCGGCTCGGTATGCGGGCAAAACTTGTGTCCATATCCACTGCAGCTTGGGCTTTCGGGCTCCCTTCCCCAGAAAGCCCAGGAGCACTGAGCACTGGATCCGGAGGCTCGAACTTTATTCCTGTCCAGTGCGCCTCGGCCTTGCGGCGCCCCTTCCATGGAAGTCCAAGACGCCCTGGATATGGATATCAGTATTGCCCGCACGAGAATCCAATGCGTTTGGGCTCCAAGGGGCACGCAGGTTCAGTTGTCCGCCACCTCTCGGGCAGTGTCCCGCGTTCGGGGCGAAGAAATGCAGCGGGAATTCGTCAGTTTCAGGACAGCGTCTGGCGCGCTGTAGGCTCTCGGCGGGGATCCCGCGCAAGGCTTCTCGCGGGCCACGTCGATGCAATGGCGCAAGCTCTTGGTGGCAGTTTTGGCGCCCCTTGGGGTTTTTTGGGGGCCTCTTGGGTGGTTTGGGGGCCTTTTGGGCCTTGGTGTGGCTGTTGGGGTCTTGGAGCATCTTTGGGGTCTCGTGAACGGCTTCGAGCGCAGTGAAGGCTGCAACGCTAAATCTGCTAAACTTATTCGCTTTCAGAAGAGGAATTCCCGACCATCCTGTGGTGTTGTGTCTTCGTTTTAAAATCACGGTGCCCGCGTTCTCCTCTTCCTCCTCCTACTTCTCCACCTCCCCCTCATCATCATCATCATCATCCTCATCCTCACCATCATCATCATCATCATCATCATCATCATCGTGCCAGCATCATCATCATCATCATCATCATCATCATCATCATCATCATCATCATCATCACCCGTGTCAGCGCACCCCTCACACGCTTCCTGGCCCTATATGGAGCTCCGCCGAAGGTCCCAGTGCTACCGTCCGCATGCGTCCCCCCACCCAGCACAGCGCTTCGTGGCCCCAGCTGGAGCCCCACCGAAGGCCCCAGTGCTACCGCACGCATGCGTCCCCCCCACCATGTACAGCGCTTCGTGGCTCCATAGGGAGCCCCACCGAAGGTCCCAGTGCTACCGTCCGCCTGCGTCCCCCCCCCACCAATTACAGCGTTTCGTGGCCCCATAAAGAGACCCACCGACGGCCCCAGGGGGACCGTCCGCATGCGTCCCCCCCCACCCAGTACAGCGCTTCGTGGCCCCATATGAATTTCCACCGAAAGCACCAGTGGGGGTTCCCGCATGCGCCCCGGAAGCCCGCCCACCCAATACAGCGTTTCGTGGCACCATAGGGGCACTCCAACGAAACACCCAATTGGACCGCTCGCATGCGCCCCACACACCCAATTTGGCATTTACGCCCAGCTGGAGCTCCACCGAAGCTCCGGTGGGACCGTCCGCGTGCGTCCTGGAAACTCAATTTGGCATTTCCACCCACCAAATACAGCGTTTCGTGGCCCCATTGGGAAGCCCACCGAAGCCCCCAGTGGGACCGTCCGCATGCGCCCCAGAAGCCCAATCGTGGCCCATCACGGAACTCCACCGAAGCCACCAGTCGCGGAAACACAATTTGAAATTTTCACGCCCCCAGTATTACGCTTCGTGGTCCCATGGGGGGCTTCACCGAAGTCCCCATTGGGAACGGCCGCGTGCGTTCCATTCACCCAATTTGGAATTTGTGGCCCCATAGGAGCTCCACCGACCCATTACAGCGCTTCGTGGCCCCATAGGAGCTCCACCGAAAGCTCCAGTGGGGGTGCCCGCGTGCGTCTCGGAAATCCAATTTGGCATTTTCACCCACCCAGTAATCCGTTTCGTGGCCCCACAGGAAGCCCCACCGAAGCCCCCACGAGGGTGTACCCGCATGCGCTCCAGAAGTCAAATTTTGCATGTTTCACTCAGCCAGTGCAGCGCTTCGTGGCCCCATAAGGAGCGCCACTCACGGCACCAGTGCTACAGCCCGCATGCGATCCCACCCACCAAGTGCAGCGCTTCGTGGCCCCATAGGGAGCTCCACCAAAGAAGATATTCACAATTGCGGTACCCACAAATGCATATAGTTGGGTCCTTCGCCCGGATAGCTGTACTATTTTGGCCTGTTGGGGTTTTCGTGGGAGGCTTCTTGGAAACCTCTTGGGATGTCCTGGCGGCCTCTTCGGCCGTTTTGGGGTCATTCTGGGTGTCTTGGAGCGATCTTTCGGGGACTCTAGGATTCACTATTTTTGCCTGTTGGGTGTTTATTGGGGGACCTTTCGGAAGCCCCTTTGGGGTGTTTTGGCGGCCTGCTCGGTTGTTTTAGGGCTATTTCGGGCGTATTGGAGCGACCTTTCGGCGACTCCTGGGCTCTCGTGGACCGTCCTGGGGGCTTCTCGGGAAGCGTCAAACGCTGTCTTGCACCTCGAAAGCGCTCCCGAGGAACCCAGACCGCCCCGGGTGAGTTCGGTCCGGGGCCTCCTGGGCGCCTTTTGGGTTGTCTTGGAGTTCTTTGGGGCCGTCTTGGGGGCCTCTTGGGAGCCTCGCAGGCCGTTTTGGGGCGATCATGGAGACCCCGTGGGCGGGTTTGAGCGCCGTTTGAAGTCTGTCAGGCCGTCCTGGAGCATCCTGTGGGCATCGTGGACGGATTAGAACACCGTGCAGGCTGCAAAAGTAAATCTGCTACAAAAGCGTGTTTTCCAAAGGGGATTTCACTATGTTTGCCTGGTGGGGGTTTCTTGGAAGGTGTTTTGGAAGCCGCTTGGGGCGTCTTGGCGGCCTCTTGGGTTGTTTTGGGCACATCTTGGGCCTCTTGGAACGATCTTTCGGCGACTCTGGGCTCTCGTGGCTCGTCTTGAGGGCTTCTTGAGAGGCGTCCAACGCTGTTTTGGAGCTCCAGAGCTGGCCCAAAGAACCCAGACCGCCCCGGGTGAGTTCGGTCCCCGCCCCGGGTGAGTTCGGTCCGGGGCCAGCCAGGGCCAGCCAGGGCCGGGGGGGGGGTCAAATTGCGGGGCTGGGGTCCCTGGTTGGGAGATTATCGGGGGGACAATCTCACATGCCTGGAGACCCGCAAGGGATCGGCGGATTCTTCCCAGTCCTCTCGCATTGGTTAGCTTGGCATCAGATTCGTTCCCCTGTGTCGGCGAAGAGGTGGTGTTGCAGCTCGATGCCGCTGAGGACGTTTCACGTATATCCGCGCTCGAGTTTGCTGTTGCACGGCATCACGGCGTGGTTGGCTGCACTCTCGAGGTGGACGGCGCATTCGGCATCCCATGGGGCGGAGTGGCAGCGGAGGTCTTAGACATTGAGAGGTCTGCCCACGGCGAGGTGCGCGCCAGGCTTCGCTCGGTGTGCTACGTGAGGATACTGAAGGCGGACTCCTCTTGCAGAGATCACGAGTTCAGGGTGGCTCTCTCGCGGGAGGTCAGCGACTGGAGTGCCGAAGAGGAGGCGCAGGGCATCGAGCACATTCGAGGTAAAGTCGCGGCTCTGGAAAGTCTTTACAAGCGATGCAGCGACTTGCAGAAGCGAAGCGGCCTCGTATCTGCAGGTAGCTTCTGCCTCAAACCACTGAGCAGACGCGTTGAAGACATGAGGCAGACGCTTGTGAAGAGCTCGGGCGCGTTGGCTGCAACCTTGATTCCCCGCGAGGCGATTGGGCCGGTGGTGACATCGCACGCCCTGGTCGCAACTCTCTCCGCGCTGATGCGGACGAAGCTGCTCTGCGAGCCCCTGTCGCTGCTCCCGCGCCTGGAGGCCTTGGAGGGCTCACTCACAAAGATCGAGAGCATCCTGGACAGACACATCGAGACCCGGCGAAAGTCCGAGGAGGGCGGCCTGGCAAACCGCAACGGCGAGATCAAGAGGAACTACCTCGAGGCGACGCGGGACTACGGCCTGCTGAGCAAGCAGGAGGCGGGCCTCCTTCCGGTGGTCCGCAGGGAGAGCGTCTTCTCCGAGGCGGAGGTCGAGGAGCTGCTGGCAGTGGCGGCCGAGAGCGTCAACCGATGCGTTGGTGGCTACCACAGAGAGCACCCCAACGGGCCTTGGAGCACCTGGTACCTGCACACCGGAGGCTGGCTACGCAGGCGCCTCCCTGCGATCTACGACCGCCTGGTTGAGGTCATCACGGAGGTGATGGGCCTGTTTTCCACCACCACCACCATAAGTTGGAGGGGGAGGGGGTCCTCCTCCTCCTCCTCCTCCTCCTCCTCCTCCTCCTCCTCCTCCTTGTCCTCCTCGTCCTCCTCCTCCTTCTCCTCCTCCTCCTCCTCCTCTCCTTCCAACTTATGGTGGTGGTGGTGGAAAACAAGCCCATCACGGAGGTGGACCGCAACCACTGGCATCTTCTGGAGAATGCCCCGTGCGCGGAGCGCCTTGGCACGCCAGTGCCACGGTGCATCGAGCTGCACACGGTCGGACCGGGCGGCGCCCTGCCACACCCAGACCATGTCGACGTGGGGAGCCTGTGGACGCTGGACGTCATGCTCTCGCGGCCCGGCGAGGACTTCGACGGAGGAGAGTTCCGGACGCTGGAGGCGGACGGCGACCTCAAGGCCCACGAGTTCGGCTTCGGCGACGCGGTGGCCTTCGTGAGCCACAAGCGGCACTGCGTCGCGCCCGTGACCAGGGGCCGTCGGCAGGTGATGGTGATCGAGTTCTGGCACGGCGAGGAAAGGTCGGGGGCGGCAACGAGGGGGGTGATCACTAGGGGCGGGTGGATATCATGGCTGGGGCCTTGATATTTCTCCAGATTTCATGGCGCCTCTTCTTATTTCATCACGTCCCTGGCCCCCCCCTCCTGGGCCGCGCACATGCCGCCAGCCATGATTTGCGCCCCCCCTCTTGGACGTCCCCCTCTGGGCCCCCCCCGAAAAGGGACTGCGCGCACAGGTGCTGTCAGCGCTGGGGCTCCTGCAGGGCGCAGCTTGGCTGCGAACAGATCCAGGAGTTCTACGCGGCCACGGTTTCTGGCAACGGGGGCGCTCCAGCCAGAGATTCGCCGATCTATGCAATGGTTCTAGCTAAGGCCCGCGATCTTTCTGGGGACACTTGCGAGGTCGGACTGGATGATATAGACGTTTGTGTTCAGATTCTCATGCAGGAGATGAGGACCCCCACGAATCTGACCAAGGGCGGCGCAAGGTTTGATGCAACTCAAAAGCTTGAAGACGACGGAAGGGGCTGGACATGGTTATCTGTTGGTGAGCAAGGCGGTATTCTGGAAGTTTCGAAATCGGTGCCTTACGGCAAAACGCCGTTACTCGTTGCAAAGGCTGACGATGTCGAGTCCGTGTTCGATGACCTGAATTGGGAAATCGTGTCGGCTCGCCTTGCCGGTTCACATGCAATGCTGGAGGGTATGGACGTTGTACCAGGTGCGTGATGCATATCAGTACGCTGTGTTGAACGTGCTACGCCAACTGGACTCGGAGCTCCTCGATCCTGCGAGCCTTCATCGGCATAAGGGGAACGCCGCAGATGCGTACAACCAAGAATTGTCCCTGTACATCGTCTTAGGATTTTTGTTTATCGTTTCGCCCCATGCCGAATAGTCTGGTATGTTTGCGTGCGTCTGGCTGCAATTCCTAGTTGTCTTATGTTGCCGCAAGACAGTTGCTCACCTTCTCAATAGTGTTACCCACTTGTTCATTTGTGCAGCAAGACGGGGACCAGCAGCACGTCAGGACTCGGCTCAGCAAGTGTGTCGCGGTGGAACAAATGCTGAGCAATCCGTGCTGTGCAATCATGTTGGTGCAACCTATGCTGTCCAGTCTGTGTGGTGCAACCTGCGTGGTGCATCATGGCGACTTCTCGTTCTGTCACATTGTGTTGGTCCCCCAACTTCCCCCGGCACCCGGGGCAACCCAAGCAACCATTCCGTCAATGGCGCCTCTCGGACCACGTCTTGGAACTCAGGCAAAACAGGCCTGAGTACCTCGCGATGGAACCCAGAGTTGTGAGGATGTCTCAAGCGAAGCGGGCCAGAGCACCTCGCGAGCCGCAAATCCACAGGTGTGAGCCGCGAGGATATCTCAAGCCAAGCGGGCTAGATAACCTCAAGTCAGGGCACCTCGGAGCCCGAGGTCCCGAGGATGTCTCAATCGAAACGAGCCTGGGCACCTCGTAAACCGCATCTTCAAGTCAGAATTTCAAGGACGTCTCAGGCCGAACGGTCAGAGCCACAGATTCCGAGGATGTCTCTTAGCGAAACGTGCCTGAATACCTCGCGATGTCTCAGACGAACAACGTAATGAGGCTGTCACAGGTGAAACGGGACTGAGCATCTCACGTCAGGGCATCCCAGAAGCCGGGGTTGCGATGATGTCTCAAGCGAAACGGGCCTGAGCACCTCGTGAACCGCATCTTCGACACAGAGTTGCGAGGACGTCTCAGGCCGAACGGTCAGAGCCACGGATTCCGAGGATGTCTCAGGCGAAACGTGCCTGAATACTTCGCGAACCACATCTTGGACCCCAGTGGTGAGGACGTCTCAAGCGAAGCGGGCCAGAGCACCTCAATTCAGAGCATCTCGAAGCTTGTGGTTCCGAGGATGTCTCAGGCAAAACAAGCCTGAGAAACTCGCGAACCACATCTTGGAATCCAGACTTGTGAGGACGTCTCAAGCGAGATGAGCCAGAGGACATCTAGTCAGGGCATCTTGGAGCCCGATGCTGCGAGGATGGCTCATGTAGAACACGGGGCGCACCCAACTCTTTTAAGGGCAACCCCTCCCCAGCACCTCCCCGGCACCGCCGTTGGGGTTGCTGGGGTCGCCCGAATCTGTCCCAGCCGACCCGGGCACCGGGGCTCAGGTACACTGTCACCCTCGCCCCTCAGGTACACTGTCACCCTCGCTGGCCCAAACAGCCCCAGAGGCCAACCGAAGTGGTCAGCGAAGACCATCGGGCTCCGAACACACACCTCCACCCCGTAAAACGAACGGACCGTTCGAGACATCCTCACAATCTGGGCGCGAACGGGCCCGTGATGCACCCTTCGTCGGCAGAGCATCAGCCCGCATCACCTGGCATGATCGAGCCTCGTCCAGCCCTGGCGACGAGAAGAGCCCCGAGAGCATTGACAACAAGAGTATTTGTCTGATGGCAATACGAGAATTATCGTCCCTCCGCCTCGTCCTCAATCGTCCTGCTACTCCTCCTCCCCCTCCCCCTTCGCTTTGCACTCCTCGATGTTTGCTCGGATATGCGGAGACGTCTCATGCGAAACTGGCTGGACCCCCTCGCACGCGGCATCTCATCGCACATAATTGTCGGGGACGTCCCAGGCGAAACAGACAGGATCACTTCGCGGGTGGCACCTTGAAGCCTAGCGCAGCGATGATGTCTCAAGCGGAGAGGACGAAGCAACCTCAGGTTACGGTATCCCCGAGCCAAACAGTTTTGAGGATGTTTCAGGCGATATGGGCCAGACCACCTCACGCATAACGTCTGAGAGCCCCGGTTTGCGAGGATGTCTCAAGCGAAACGGGCCAGACCATGTCAAAGTTGGTCGTCTCAGAACGCTGACTTGTGAGGATGTCTCATGCGGAACGGACCGAACCACCTCAGCATGTTGCCAATATCTCGACTCGCGGGCGCATCGGGCGGCATTCGTTCTTACAGCCACAGTGCCCCCCGGCACCGGGCGGGCGACCCAGGAACATTCCAAGGTAAAATTATCCCGGCAAAGCAACCTCACAGCGATGTCTATAAGCATATCTGGAAGCATTCCCCTTAAGATTCAGGTGAGAATCCAGTTGTAGAATTCTGCTGCTCTCGCAGTCGAAGTCGCATTCGCAATGACAGTCGCAGTGGCAACGGCCTCAGGATCCAATGGAATCCTAAGGATGCCTAGGGATTCCTATGGCATCCTCAGGCATCCTTAGGAATCCATAGGAATCCTTAGGAAACCTTAGGAAACCTTAGGTATCCTTAGGAATCCCGATTCCTAGGGATCCCTGGGGATTCCTAAGGATTCCTAGGGAATCCTAAGGATTCCTGAGGAGTCATGAGGATGCTTAACCATGCCTACGGATTCCTAAGGATGCCTACATATTCCTAAGGATTCCTAGGGATTCCTGAGGATTCCTATGGATTCCTACGGATGCCTCAGCCTGTCTTAGTTTCAGCCTCAGCCTCAGCTTGCCTCGGCCTCAGCCTCAGCCTCAGCCTCAGCCTGCCTCGGCCTCAGCCTCAGCCTTAGTCAGCCTCAGCCTCAGCCTGACTCGGCCTCAGCCTGCCTCGGCCTCAGCCTAAGCCTGCCTCAGCCTCAGCCTGCCTCGGCCTCAGCCTGCCTCGGCCTCAGCCTCAGCCTGCCTCAGCCTCAGCCTGCCTCAGCCTCAGCCTCAGCCTCAGTCTGCCTCAGCTTGCCTCAGCCTCAGCCTCAGCCTGCGTCAGCCTCAGCCTGCCTCGGCCTCAGCCTGCCTCAGCCTCCCCTCCTCCCCCCCCCCTTCCCCCACCCCATTCAGCCTCACCTTGTCTCAGCTTCGGCCTGCCTCGGCCTCATCCTCAGCCTCAGCCTCAGTCTCAGCCTCACCCTGTCTCGGCCTGAGCCTGCCTCGGCCTCAGCCTCAGCCTGCCTCAGCCTCAGCCTGCCTCAGCCTCAGCCTCAGCCTCAGCCTTCAGCCTCAGCCTAAGCCTCAGCCTGCCTCGGCTTGCCTCGGCCTCAGCCCCAGCCTTCCTCGGCCTCAGCCTCAGCCTGCCTCGGCTTGCCTCAGCCTCAGCCTCAGACTGCCTCGGCCTCAGCCTCAGCCTGCGTCAGCCTCAGCCTCAGCCTGCCTCGGCCTCAGCCTGCCTCGGCCTCAGCCTCAGCCTGCCTCAGCCTCAGCCTGCCTCGGCCTCAGCCTGCGTCAGCCTCAGCCTCAGCCTGCCTCAGCCGCAGCCTGCCTCAGCCTCAGCCTCAGCCTCAGCCTCAGCCTGCCTCGGCCTCAGCCCCAGCCTTCCTCGGCCTCAGCCTCAGCCTGCCTCAGCCTCAGCCTCAGCCCCAGCCTGCCTCAACCTCAGCCTGCATCAGCCTCAGCCTCAGCCTGCCTCAGCCGCAGCTTGCCTCAGCCTCAGCCACAGCCTCAGCCTGCGCGGGCTTGCCTGAGCCTCAGCCTCAGCCTGCCTCGGCCCCAGCCTCAGCCTCAGCCTGCCTCAGCCTCAGCGTCAGCCTCTCAGCCTCAGCCTGCATAAGCCTCAGCCTCAATTTCAGCCTAAGCATCAGTCTCAGCCTGCCTCAGCCTCAGCCTGCGTCAGCCTCAGCCTCAGCCTGCCTCGGCCTCAGCCTGCCTCAGCCTCAGCCTCACCCTCAGCCTGCCTCAGCCTCAGCCTCAGCCTGAATCGGCGTGCCTCAGCCTCAGCCTCAGCCTGCCTCGGCCTCAGCCTGCCTCGGCCTCAGCCTGCCTCAGCTCGGGCATTCAAAACATGGCACAGGACTGGTGTTCTGGGAACACGAAGATCACGAAGTGGCCCACGCATGGCTCCGGGCAATAAAAATATGGTACAGGAATGGTGTTATGGGAACACGAAGAATACGAAATGGCCTACAGCTGGCTCCGGGCATTCAAAATGTGTCCCGGTAATGGTTTTCTGTGAACACGAAGAACACGAAGTGGCCAACAGTTGGCTCCGGGCATTCAAAATGTGGCCTGGGAATGGTGTTCTGGGAAGACGAAGAACACGAAGTGGCTTACAGTTGGTTCCGGACATTCAAAATGTGGCCTGGGAGTGGTGTTCTGGGAACACGAAGAACACGAAGTGGCCTACAGTTGGTTCCGGACATTCAACATGAGTCCCTGGATCTTCTCCGGCACCCGCCCAAAACCCCCGGAGTCCTGGGGAGTCCCCGGATTATCACCGGCATCCGCCCAGACCCCCCTGGGGAGTCAAGATGCTTTCTTTTGAGCCCACTAGAAACCTATCAGTCTTCGCTGTTAGGTAGCTAATTGAACAGAAACAAACGAGAAGTTCCCATATGTGTTGTGGCGTATACCCACCGCACAACCGACTGGTGCAATATACGCGGTGGGAGCTACAGTGGCCCAGTTCCTTAGAGCAGAAGCAGGAACTCCTAAGCATCAGGGGCGTCTCTTAAGCATCCGGGAGATCCATAACATATTATTCCTGCTTGGATATGCAGGTCTGTAGGTGGATGCTCATACAGTTGCTTCGATACGAGTGTATGAACACATGTCTGAATATTCCATGTCTATACTTCGGTGCATTTCTACGTGTATAGAATTGTGTTGGTGTATGCACACGGTCTGGATAGCTGAAGTAAGTGTTAGCCACGTATATATAGATGCATACACTTGTCTCTATATGCACAAATACCTGTGTATATATGATACTGTCATATAGACATGTGTATGTCCTGAGAAATCCCTTGGTGATCTTTCGGAATCCCGGTTGAAGAAGAGTTGAGGATTTCCTGCAGCATCCTTGAGGAATTTTCAGGAGTCCCTCTGACATCTTCAAGAATCCGTCAGAAACCCACGGGCCCCTCAGACATCTTCAAGAATCCATCACGAATCATATTGAAATCTTACACGCTGGGATCAGTCCTGAGGTTGTCGTGAGTGGCCCGGTGTGCTAGGGACCGGCTTTAATCTTGCATCTGAGAGGGGTACCTCGTGCCCTCCCACCCCCCGTGCGATTGTTGCAGAGCCCCGCCTCTTCTTTTCATTGCAGGGTTAAGCGTTTGGGCTGGATCTAGCGAGTTTGGCAGGGGGAGGGGCCAGGAGGAGGGTCCGAGCAGGGCCACGCCAGTTGCAAGACTGGTTCATGCCAGCGGCATTGGACACCGCTGCTGCGTGGGTTATCCCTCCGGACTCTTGCATTCGGGCGCCGCCCCGCAGCACCCTGAGGACCCCGCAAGACCCTCCGGACCTTCC